AAAGTAAATTGGTTTACATGACACATCCACCCTGCGGAACTCAAAGTTTCATTTTCATATGCTACTCCACACACTGAATGGCCACTGGAGATTTCGGGGCTTGGCGGAGCAGATTCCTGATAAGGGAAAACTAGGGCAAATCCAACTGTCCACTCTCCAGTGTTTCTCGCCAAAGGTGCTTTATTTCCTCTCCCACAGTGCCAGCAATGGACCTGCAGTGTGTCTGGTAGTTTTTGCTTACAATTCATTGAGTTCTGGGGGGGGGACTCTGTTGTTGCTTTTGAGCTAGGGTAACACTTTCCTCCCTTTAAGTGAATGCGGTTTATTTAAGAGATGGTAAATGTACGTTCGCTATATATAAAATATATATATATGTTTCTATTGTCATCCAAAAGCATGGGCCACTGTCTTTTTCATGTGAATAAATGGTTTCTAGTAAAGTTAAGGTTATAACTTCCGTGCACTCAATGGATTTCCATCTCCAAAGGATTCTAGCTTTTCCCGGGTTAGAGCCAAGTTCAATTGAATAATAATGGGAAGCTGCCTAGTCGGGTTGTTTTGAACGCGTTTAAATCAGGATTAGTTTAGATGTGTAACTCTCTCTTTGTAGGTATGCGTAACCTTCTCTGCTCGCCGTGAGGCAGAGCCAGCATGGCTGGCTGTAGCCCACCACTTCTGATGGGGCTGCAATTACTGCAAACATCGAAAAAGGCTTTTATTTTTAATTAAAATAATAACAATAATTGTTAGTCTCACAGGAAGGCCAGAATCCCCAGAGTCAATGGCTGTTTACTTGTTAGTGAAGAGAGAGGCAGAAAGACGGAGGGCTCGGAGCGAGGCAGACAAGAGGGAGCTATAAACAATTGGCACTAGTTGGGGGGGGGAAAGAAGAAAGAAAAAAAAAGAAAAAAGAGACCCTTTTGGAGGCAGAGGGGTGGATCTCTTGGATGCCGTTCCTGGGGAGGGCGAGCGGAGCGCCGGGAGCGCAGCCCGCGGCCCCATCCGCGGCTGCGGCGGGCCCTGCGCGGGGGCCGGCATCCGGCAGGGCTCTGCTCCGCGCCGCTTTATCTTGCGTGACCTGGCTGGGCTGTTTACAAAACCTTGAACTGTCTAGACAACACCATAAAAACCGAGGTTCTAAACAGCTTAATTGGGTTATATTATACACCTTCTAGTGGGTGAAAAAGAGATTTCCGCAATGTGCAATAAAGGCGAGGAGTGAGGAAAGAATTTGCCTGTTTTGAATAGGACGAAGCGGCGGCTCTCACTACGCTTGCACGCAGGGAAGGCAAAAGTGCCCAAATAAGTCAGGAAAAGCCCGAGAATTCAAAAAACGGAGAAATAGAAGCGGAGGGAGGCATGACTTTTAAAAAAATTATTTTAAAACCCTTTAGCAAGAAAAACATAAGTGTATGCCTTTGAACTTCCAAAATGTCAAGGTCATCACCTTTAACCTTTCTGAATAATTAGGCGCCTTAAGGTTCCTCTGTTATTTTCAACCACCACCCACTCTCTCTCTCTCTTTCTGTGCTCCCTCCCTCCCTCTCTCACACACCCGCACAACCACACACACAGTTATTACCGCATAGCTGGACGGATTAGCAAATGCATCATAACGCAGAGAAAACCCCGGCCGGGTCGAGGTGAGCTTTCGGCGGCGGGCGGGAGCTTGCCCCGCTCTGCTCCGCGCCTGCCTTGGCCCGCCGACTCCCGCGTCCCTTGCCCTTCCCTTCCGCTCACAGGAATTCGACCCAGATCTCCCTTTTTTTTAGCTCTAAAAATAAACCAAAAAGGGTTTGGGGTTGGGTTTTTAGGTAATTTTTTTTTTTTTTTTTTGCTCAAAATGATAACAGGGGGCTGTAGGAAATGCTTCGTAATGTAAGGAGAAAGATGGTCTCTCTAGGAAGGTTTTCTGTAGCCGTGCGTTTCTCCACAAAGCCCATTAATTAAAAATGCGCGAAGCGGCGGGGAATTTCTCACAGCTTTTCGCCTGACCTTATAGCAAAATTCTTGCGTCTCTCCCGAGCCTTAATCCGCAGGACAAGAACGAGGCGTTTGATTTTTATGCTCCCTGCAGCGCTTTAACAGTCTACCTCAGCGGATTAATACGCCTTTAAAATGCTAAGACACCGCAAAAAAAGAGCCGCTGAAACAGAAACAACCCAGCATTAATCTTGCATAAACGCTCAAGGATAGCACGGTTACGTTTCTATTTAAAAAGAACAAGAGAAACCCGTGATCGGGAGCAGACGGAGCCGAGAAGAGAGAACCTCGGGAGAAGCAGGCGGGCGGCAGCGGCAGTGCGGGCCGAGGCCACAGGGGGGCGCCCCGAGGCGCTGCAACGCCCACAGCCGCCCGGCTCCCTGAGAATAACCTCACTGCTAATAAAATAGCTAATATATAAGTAACGATAAGATTTCAGGGCCTTCCAAATGAGAAAATAAAGCATCAAAAAGATTTATTAAACAAATAACCCATAACCGTGACGGGATGGAGAAATACGCCACTTTAAAGGAGAAGAAAAAAAAAAATTTGGTCGTAATCTTTTATAATGCATCCGAGCTTTAAAAAAAACCCACCATAATTTTAAGAAAGAAAAAAAGCCACCAAAACTCCAGTGATATCCCGAATTCGTTCCCTAGAACGAAAATCTGTTCATTCCTTTAAGGGTAGCCTTAACGCCAATGAAACAAAAGTAATACAAACCCCATGCGTTTCCACAGTTTATCTTCGGTTCTTAATCCAGGCTTTTCTTAAAATAAACCTTTAGGCACAGAAAGCATAATTTTTGAAACACACTTTACTTAAGGGGAGATTAACGTTAGATCCTAGAGAGGGCTTATTTTTCTAGAAAGACAGAGTGAGAGAGACTAAAGCAAAAAGGCAATCTTTTTAATATCCGAACACCACTTTGCCAAGGCATTGCTGAATGAAATCCCTCTCTTTAAAAGTACTATGGAGATCTATTAAAATGGAAGTAGAGATTAGAAAATTAAAGTGAAGCTTATGAATTTCCTGGATGCTCTCCAGTGACCGAGCATGTTCCTGTTTTTGTTGGTTTTCTTCTTTATATTTTCCCTCCAGTACGCACTTTTGGTCAGAATTCGAGGAAAGAAAGGGCTTCGCTGCTTTCTGCTTTTTTTTTTCAGAATTAATCGAAATCTATTTCACGTTGTTTCAGCCATATTCTACATTTTTTAAAGCCCCTTCTCTCATGAAAGCATTTGCTGGTACTTTGCCTGCTGGGTTGTTGGGGCTTGGGGTTGGTTTGTTTTTTAGAAGTTCATTGTTAACACTTTCCTAGAAATAGCCTTTCCGTCGGTAATAAAATGGCATTGTACAATCTGAAATCCTTGGGATCCCTGACGCCAAAGGTAGTCCTTACAGGCGCAGCCGGATCCCGAAGGAAAATCCCCAGGTCTCTCGGTGGAGATACCCATTTCGAGAGGGAAACGTTTAGCGAAGTTTTTGTGTTTGTTTTTCTTGGCTTGGGAGTGTTCCTTGTGAGCGTCCACACCAACCCCAAACCCATCAGGCTTCATGAGAGGCGATTTAACAACTCGCAGTTACAGTGAGGCTGAGTGCAGTGAATGTGAACGAGTGATGGGAGCCAGGATGTATTATTAAAAAAAAATATAATCTATATACCAGAATATGGAAACGCAGCTTCTTTTTTGAATCATAGTGTAAATGTGATGATTTTCCACCATTCTATAACCTCTTCTATTACCCCCCCCTCCGCCCTTTCTCTGTTTTATTCCTTTAGACAGAAAAAGCTGTGAGGTACTTCCAAGTATCTGTGGGCTTGTCCTTTAAGGAGAACGAAAAGGATTTTTGCTTATTTTCTGATTAAATTACACATGCGGCAGGAATCTGCCGAAAGATAAATATGCAGCCCAAATACCGAGGCTGAGGTCTGCATCTGGGGCCAACTTACAGGCTAAAATCTCGTCGTAGTAGATACTCACTTCTGTGTCCGCAGAAATATAGAAATACAATAGAGGAAGGGTTGAGGCTCCGGGTGAAGCTGAGAGGACAATCTGGGCTGCTGTGCGATCCCCACGCTCAAAAACACCTTTGAAGAAAAGGCCAACGTACTACTTTATTTATTTTATAAGCTTTCATATTTAGGAAGAGGCATAATGTCATCAGCATGTCGTCCTGTCCCCCCCCCGTCCCCTCTCCCCCGGACCCCCTCGGTCAAAAAATCCAGGGAATCTGAGCCCTCAGCCCAGACGCCGACTGTCTATGAAAATATGGCACATAGAAATCTGGGCAACGTGACAGTTGCATTATTAAAAGAAGAAAGGACACAATATCGTAGCCAATTTTTCCCCTCCCTGAAATAAAAACTATTCTTCAATCCCCCTGCAATATAACAGCATGGCATAAAATATACCATCCCCGCCTTTAAAGACACCTTAAATGAAATGCTGAAATCGAGTAAATGAAAGGAAATTTCCTAAAAGCTTCCTGGGTTCCAGCCTGGTTTTTAAGTAAGATATTTCCCACAACACCTTTGTTACTGAAGGCATCTGCAAAATATCTAGCCTGTTTCGTACCCCGCTCCCATCCCCCTTACATAATGAGACACAAACAGAGCAAATTGCAACTATGAAAATCCTCAGCACAGCCGAGAAAAGAAATAATAATCATATCACCAGTAATAAGGTTTAGGAAGATAAGGCAGTGAAAATTAAGCCCTGCTGCCACGTCTGGTAACCTCAAGTTTTAGCCCTGACATTTGCTAGAGGAGAAAACTGTAATGTCCACCTATGCTTTATTACAAACAGTGATTTACATCTACATGGACCCATTGGTTGGTTTTTTGTTTTTTTTCCTCCCTTGTTGGGAAAAATATGGGGCTCTGAGAGCCAAACCTTTATATTAATGTAGATTGTATATCTCATTTATTGCACAATATTGATTTATTTATTAATGTTAATTACTTGATTCCATTTTAATATGATTTAAAACAAGAATGACATTAAATGCCCAGAGCCTAAGTCCCCAGTTCCCCAGTGGCTCTCACATGTTTATTCAACTTCTATTTACATCAAACTTAAACTTTCCTACTGTTCATTTTCAATAATAAAAAAATGCTGCCCGCTTTTAAACCCCCTCATGATTTATCATGAGCGAAGGGTCTTACGGAGCCGTTTACCAGTCCTGAATACGATATTTAAGTCATTATCATCGCAACCATCAGCTGAGTTCCCGTGTAGTGACATGCGAGAAATGCATATTTTCAGTTGAAAAAATCAAAGAACCCTCATGTCTAATCAGGAGCCGAGCAGTCAGCTCCCCCAGCACCGGCCGGGCTGGCGTGGAAGGCAAGCGCAGCCTTTGCTTATTGTTTTAACTTCGCTGCCGGGCGAAACCCGCTGCAGAGCTCTGGGCTCACACTTCAGCTAGGATATTTCTGGGACCCCCTTTTCTGCAAGTGTAAATAAAGATTATGAAAGAGCCATTTGATGGGCATAAAATTCCTGATTAGATTTAACAGTCGAGTCTTAAACTGCGTCAAGGAAAATAGTATTTTGTTTCTTTAAACTCTGTGGGTTGTCCGGGCTGTTGTTGCAGAAGAGGAAATTGCTGGAAACCGAGGGGGGGATGCGGGGCTCGGAGGGAGCGTCGTGGGCTCCGCCGCAGCTTCTCCTCCTCCTCCAGAGCAGGGAAATCTTAGCCATGGCTCTGATAATGATCTTAACTTGCCATCCCGGCGGAGCTCGACCCTCGGCGCCGGCGGAGCGCGCCCGCGGAGGGGCCGCGCCAGGCGCAGGGGATGCTGCTGCGGGAAGATCTTGAGAGCAGCGACTATGCCGAAGGTAATATTTAAACTCTTAGGCGAGCCAGGAGCCGGAGACTGCAGCTATAAAAGACTCTGGCTCTTAACCTGACAATGATGTTGTATTTGAACAGCTGCGATAAGGTTTTAAAGGGTCTGTCTCATTGCCACAGCGAAATTTTAAATAGGGTTATTGTTTCCAGCAGTGCAAAGTGTACGGTAAAAGTGCAAAACATCCAAATGCCAAGGAAAGGGGGAAAATGCAAACCTACGCTGGTGGGTTTTCCACCGTGCGAAAGGCGTGTTTAAATTTTTTTAAGTCCTTCCACGTGCTGCCTGCTTTGGGGGACCTGAAAGGGCGTTTTGATGGTAGAAAGGCCCAAAATAAACAGGCGGGGGAATCCGAAACAAAAATTATCAAGAAGTTCACTTTGTCTGGATAAGAGTCCTTGACAGCACCAGCCCCAGATAAGAAACACCCCACTCTGAGTACAGTAAAAAAAAAAAAAAAAAAGAATTAAAAAAAAACCTACAAACCAACACACAAATACACACACACAAAAAAACCAACAACAAACAAACAAACCAAAAACCAAACCAAAAGAGAACACACCAAAAACACCAAAAACCCACCAAGAAAACAAGGGGAGGGGAAATAAAAAAAAGAGAAGCAAGGGAGAAAGAGTAATAAACAGTTTGCGCCGTCACTATTTAAACTGTAATAGATGCGGGTGTAGAGAGGGGTAGGAAGTGTGTGGGGGAAACAGTAAAACTGGTTTAAAATGTTGGGGCGGAAAACTCTGGTTTGCCATGTAAACAGTCGCTGTTGCCTTCGGTATTTCTTCTCTTTTTTATCATACAGATGCATTTGTCATTCTTCTTCAAATACAAAACAAGACAAGGAAAGGAAAAGTTGCTGGAAGAGTTGCAGTGAGGCTATGAGTTTCTGTATGTTTTTTTAATGAGCAGCACCACAGAAGGAGAAATTATCTTTATGATGCTTTCAGTTTCCAGGGCAAGTGAAAAACCCACTTTCTTTTTTTAAATTTTCTTTAATTTATTTTATTTTTCTTTTTTTTATTTTTTTCCCTTTTCCCAGGCGGTCTGGCGAGAGCATAGTAAAATAATTTTAGGAATGTGGCTTCCCTATAAAACTCGAGTTATGACAGAAGTCTAGCTTTTAATATTTGACAATTTGTGTTAAAACAAAAATTGACCTTCTCGGTTAGCAGCAAGGAAAAAAATCAATAGTATAATTTTCAATAATTCATAACGCGAACGCCATTATGCTAAATCTTAACTATTAATCTTATCCTTTACAAAGTCTGGATTGATTTGTTAATAAAATATCTTCCCGTGCGCGGCAACAGAGGGTATAACTCTGGAAAAAGCTTCAGAAGCAAGAAAATTACCAAGTAGCCCAAGAATGTAGATGAGGGTTTTATTGATCGCCCCTGATTCTCCTTAATACGCATTAATAAATCCCGCAACCTTTTGTCCCCGCACTTGTCAGACGCGGGGCTTTTACGGGAGCCATGGCGGACAAGCGGCGGTTTGGTTTTCAGCCCGCCGTGCCACCCGGGGAGGTGGTGTTGGAGCGGGGGGGAAGCTGTGTGTGCTCCGCACTCGCGGAAGCTCCGCGGCGGTGAGAGGGGGGGGGCCCGGCCCGGCTGCCGCAGCGCGGGCGCGGCGCGCCGGGGCGGTGCGGTGCCGACGCGGCGGCCTAGGGGTCGCTGTTGACCGCGGCGGGGCGCGGCGGGGCGGCGCGGCGGGGCGCGTCAGCGGCGGGGCGGCGGGGCGCGGAGCGGCGGGCGCTGCCATTGGCCCGGCTGTCATGTGGTCGCGCGGAGGCATCCGCAATTACACGGGAATGTTTTCCTAGAGATGTCAGCCTACAAAGGACACAATCTCTCTTCCTCAAATTCCGCCCCAAAATGTCCTTTCCCAACAGCTCTCCTGCCGCTAATACTTTTTTAGTAGATTCTCTCATCAGTGCGTGCAGGAGTGACAGTTTCTACTCCAACAGCGCCAGCATGTATATGCCACCTAGCACAGACATTGGGACGTATGGGATGCAAACCTGTGGACTCCTTCCGTCTCTGGCTAAAAGAGAAGTTAATCACCAAAATATGGGTATGAATGTACATCCTTATATACCTCAAGTAGACACTTGGACAGACCCGAACAGATCTTGTCGAATAGAGCAACCTGTTACACAGCAGGTCCCCACTTGTTCCTTCACTACAAATATTAAAGAAGAAAGCAATTGCTGCATGTATTCCGATAAGAGATCCAAACTCATTTCTGCAGACGTCCCTTCCTACCAGAGGCTGGTGTCTGAATCATGCCCCATTGAGAACCCCGAGGTTCCCGTCCCAGGATATTTTAGACTGAGCCAGACCTACGCCACTGGGAAAACCCAAGAGTACAATAATAGCCCTGAAACGAGTTCAACTGTAATGTTACAGTTAAACCCTCGCGGCAGCTCCAAACCGCAGATATCTGCTCAACTTCAGCTGGAAAAGAAAATGAATGAAAACCCGAACAGCCAAGACAGCACCGCTAAAGTCTCTCAAGTGGAAAGTCCCGAGCCCAAGTCCACGTTGCAAGAAGAGCGGAGCTGCCTGCCCGAAGGCTCCGTGTCCAGCCCAGAAGTCCAGGAGAAGGAGAGTAAAGGTCTGTATTACCGAGTTTAAACCGTGCCGTGGTGTAACTCCAACACGCCAGCACCATAAAGCAGGCTCGAATATACTAACGAGCATCACAGCCATCACATTTAATGCTAAGGAGTATCGGGCTGCAGGTGCTGTGTCGCTGAAGATTTTGGCAGGAAAAAAAAATGCTACACTAAAGGGTCCAGGGATTTTCTGTAGAGATCTGCCTCTTCTGTGCATGCAGACCTGCAGACAGCCTCCGTGATGCGGGGAATAGAGCCGTCTGCTCCTTAGTGCGCTGTAGCAGCCAAAAGCAGCCCCATACCTCCAAAAAAAAGCAGGTCTGGAGGTTGTAAAATACGACCAGCTCAAGTTTTCTCTCGTAAGATTTCGCTGATTTTTTTTTTGTTTAATTTATATTTTTTCACTGAGCCTTACTGCTGTTTGATTGCATTTAAAGTTAATTACGATCCTATAAAAATAGGTGAGGAATAGGTGCTACCAGGCTGGGTAAAGTTGGAAATAAACGTACAATGAAAGCAGCAGCCCTCTATCTGCCTGGTCCAAAGATGGAATGTTTCAGTGTGATGCTTTAGATAACCTTGGGTTTGTCTCCAAAAGTGCTACAGTATTTTTGAAATGCGCTTGAAAGCTAAAGGTGGTGTAATCTGATTTTATTTTCCCTTTAAAAGTGCACTAGAGCCTTCCTTTTGAGCGGCGTGTTTCGAAGAATCCCAAAACGGGAATTTTTTTCATATCAAAATGTACTTTGCAACCTCTAGGTCGATTTTTACCTTACGTGTGCATGGAGATTCTCTTTATCTGAATTATATTTAACATCCCAGGTCTAGATTGATGTGGAACAAATTTCTTTCTGGCGGGAAGAAAATCTAAAAAGAAAATGGAAAAAGAGAAAAAATCCGAGCTGATGGTGTTAATATCTTGTATGTCTTTATGTCTTTTTGGCTGGCAAAACGGCCATGTCTGTTCCTAGGTGTGCTTGTGTAATTCAGCTGATGGCTGGGGAGATGCTGCTTCCAAACACAGAGATAAGGGATTTTGTGATTGGGATATTTTCCTAGCAAATGTCGTGGGAACCCGAGGCGGCCATGGCGGGGATAGACCCGTTAAAATCCGGCCATGGGGCTGATGGCAGGTTAAATATTGTTGAAATGCTGAACGCCAGCTGAGAAGTGGAGAGTCAGTTGCGGGCCGGGACAGGAGTGCAGTGCAGGCAGGGGCCGGGTGGCGGGGCTGGGCAAGCCCAGACTGGCAGCGGGTCCCCTCCCGATGCCCACCCCGCACCCGAGCCCTGTATAGTGCCCGCATCCACCATATCTACCAGACACTGCAGAGGAGGGGTCATGGCCAAGGGTACAATCTAACAGCCTAAGGTATTTTTGATTTTTTTTTTTCTTCTTCTTCTCCTTCTTTGATTTTGATAGAGGAAATCAAGTCTGATACTCCAACAAGCAATTGGCTAACTGCAAAGAGTGGCAGAAAGAAGAGGTGTCCTTACACTAAACACCAAACACTGGAATTAGAGAAAGAGTTCTTATTCAATATGTATCTCACTCGAGAGCGCCGTCTAGAGATCAGTAAGAGCGTAAACCTCACTGACAGGCAGGTCAAGATTTGGTTTCAAAACCGCAGAATGAAGCTCAAGAAGATGAGCAGGGAGAACCGAATCCGGGAACTGACCGCTAATCTGACCTTCTCTTAAACCCTAACCCCGGGGGGGGCACCAGTGAGGAGTGGGCACAGCACCACCACTTGTTAAAGGCAGGAGAGACTGTGGCAAAACCCGGCATTTCCCAGTTTTGTTTTGTTTTGTTTTGTTTCTGATAGAATGTGACTTTTCGTCCTTCTTTTAGCGCTGCAAGTGAATATGTATTACTATGATGAGTATATATAAAACCTAGCACGTGTAATTTATTTTTGTTCTCATCGTAATGCAGGGTAACTATTATTGAATATTATCATTTGGTCTTAACTTATTGGAACTGTCGAACATCCAAGCAATGTGACTTTTTCATGTTTTTACTAACAAAATGGTATTTATGTGGGGCTGTTACACGGGCCATAACGTTTGGAGTACATTCAATACTTTAAGAAAAAGGGGGGGGGAGGGAAACTTGGGGGGCGGGGGGAAAGAGAAGCACATTATAAGGTAACTATCCTCGCAAATGAACTTCGAGATTGTCCTTCGTTAAATGGAATATTTCCTTCTTCTCCATTGTAGACATTTCCTTGTGGTGCATATGTGGAATAGTAGTCGTTCAGCAGCAATATGTCCTTCTTGTGCATGTTGTGTTCGCATGTATAATGCAATAAACTCTGTAAACTACTGCGGTTCCTTTGGTTTTCTACAAATACTGAAAGTACAGATGCAGGTTGGTCTCCTGGTCTTTCTCTATGAGCAGCTCTTTGGACGGATGTACCTTCTTTGCCATTTTCTGGTCTTTGTGTGTATCTGCCTGGGTATCTTTCTTTCTTTCTCCCCCCTTTCTTTTTTTCTTTCTTTTCTTCTTCCCCCTTCCTTTTTTAGGGGTGGGGTGGAGACTGGGGCGGGAAATGATGTAAACCTGATTCATTTATAATTGTGCCTGTAAACAAATGATTAATTGATAAAATGTTGTGTGATGTTCCCAGTTTGACAAACTGAGTACAAAAAAAAAAAAAAAAAAAAAAAGGGAAAAAAAAAAAAAAAAGAGAAAGAGAGAGGGGGGAAGGAAACAAAAAAAAACCCCAAAACGTAGTAAAATATTATGACCTCAACTGGACATCCTCATCCAATCAACTCATAAATGGTAAGTGATAAAAATTCTTTCTACTACAAGCTGTCAACAATATGTATGTCATTTTATTTGACGTTCGCATGTTGATTTAAAAAATATCAGTCACCGCGTGCTTACAATGTGTAGACTTTGATTTCGTGTCTTTACTCTCTTAAAAGAACCCCATCATGCTACATGTAAAGCTGGGCGTAAGATAAATGTTAAGGAGTTCGGTTCTTGATGAGCTCAAGAGCTTTTGGAAGATGGTGGATGTGAAAATGTCTCCTCAAACGTCTGGCAAGGTTGGCTTTTTTTGGAGCAGAAACGCTCCAAACGTGCTTACAAAAGTACACCGGCCTCTTCAGACCTACTTTTGTCATCCTGCACCGTTTCTGTTTACTCAGAGATCGTTTTATTTCGTGCAATTCCATTTTAGTAGAACACATCCAGATAATGACGTTCACGACTCTTAACCCTTTCTGTACATAGCTGAAAAATGTTATTCGCAGGGCTCTGCTGAGGAACGGTGTGTGTGAGAGGGAGCGGGTGAGTGCCTGTGTGAGCAGAAATACTCAGCAGAACTGCAAATGGCTTGCAAATGAACATGACTCCAAATTGAAGTGCAAATACTTGGGCATACTTTCACCTTCAAACAGTACTGGAAAAATAGCGCGGCTACTGTTTGCGCTGAGAAACCAGCTCACTCACCATCAGCACCCATTCCTCCCCTAAGCAGTTTCTAAATCAAGAAATTAAAAGCAAGATAGTGCCAACATTGTCTGACTTGGTGGCACTAGTACTGGTCACGTTGCAGCTGGCGGTGTTGCATTTTGCTCTTTTGCTGCTGAGATTTAAACTTATATCAATTAAGTACTTAAATTTAGGCCAATACTTCCTCATGCGCACGTTCACTCGTAGGGCAGAGGTATATATTCCTCAAACCAAAACATCATAATTTTGATGCTGCGGGAGCCGCAAGCCCGTAGGTATTTTGTGCTTGCTTTCGTTTCGAAAACAAACAACAAAACCGGTGCTCAACAGCCCCCGCCGCCACCCCTCCCCCCCCTCCAAAAAAAATCTTTAAATATTGCATACATTTGAACCGTCTTTTATTTTCCTTTAAAGATACTGGCTACATCACCAAAGAAGTTTCAGCAGTGGGAAGTAATTAGCTGGCTCCATACCAAATGTTTAACGTATATAGAAAAAAGGAGGCTCGCTCTAATCTGCCCGCTTTATAAATTTTTATCTGTGTAAAGCGAGGGGCAACTTTTCGCCATATCAGAAATCCAGCTTCTAGAGAAAAAATATAGAAGTATGAAACGTAAAGGAAATAGTAAAGTGTGATGAGAGAAACAAACAAACAACAACAAGGCGGGAAAAAAAGGATTAAAAAAAGAAAAAGAAGTAGAAAAGAGAAGAAAAAAGGAAGAAAACAACCCCAGAGAGTAATAAATCATTAAATAAACAGGAATTTCAGTCCCTTCCTCATAACGGCCCCGGAGTAGGAAGTGTTTTCGCAGCGCTGCTGTCGCTGGTGCTGTCGGCGGGCTCCCCACTAACCGTGTGCTTTCCTCCAGATCCCGGCACAGCCGCCGTCCCTCGCTCGGCAGAGCAGGCGTGGGCAGAAGACCATGGGTAATCTGGTTTTCCGTACTAACCGGGCACCGTGTCGCTCGGGGAAGGGTAACCGGGCAGAGAGAGGGGGGAGGGGAGGAAGGGAAGGGAAGGAAAAGAAAGCAAAGCGGGCAAAAATCTCACGTAGGCATTGAACGTGGCCAGCGCGGCCCGGCCCAGCTCCCCCAAGAGCTAGGGGCGGAGGAGTCAGTTCTGCCGGCGATGGGGGGGCAGCGGCACCTTTTCCTGCGCGGCCCCTGCCCCGCTGCCGCGGAGATGCCTGCAGCCGGGCCTGGCTGTCTCCTCTGGGCAGCGTTGGGCATGGCCGGGGGGGCTGCGTTGGGGCTGCGTAGCCCCAAAGTTTCGCAGATACAGGAGCGTGTGTTCAGCCACACGTCAGTTTTGCTTGGAGACACAGGCTTTGCTGTTTCCATCCGTCCGTTTTATTAGGGACACATTAATCTATAATCAAATACACCTCATAAAATTTTTATTGAAAGGCATAAAATCATTACAGAGGTCTTCCACCTGTTTTAAAACAACACAATGGGCATCTCTTTTTAAAAGTGTATCCTTTCCATGGAAACTTTCTGTCAAAGGGTGTGGGGGGAGCAGATAATAATACCCGCACATGCTCTGAAATATGGAAGTACCGCAATGTGCTTTTACTGTAACATTTTCCTGTTTTATGAGAAGTCGTTACAGTCCCAGCTTGCGATGGTTTGTTTTTACAGGCAAGAATCCCCCTTTCCCAGCGGGTTTCCTCAGCAGCTTGGAGTGTGATTAGCAAGCCAAGGCTGTTGGATTTATTTAAACACCCTGCCTCTCATTGATTAAGAAATGAATGGCAGAAATCACTCAAAGGAGGTGAAGAAATAGTGCGCGCCCGCCGCGGCCGTGGGTTGCCAAGAGCGGCCACGCCAGCCGCGCCCTGGCAGGCAGGGCAGGCAGGGCTGGGCAGCGAGGACGGGCAGGGCAGGAAAGGCAGGGCGGGTGGGCAAGCTGGCAGAGAGGACGGGCAAGGCGGGCAGGGCGGGCAGGGCGGGCAGGGCAGGCAGGCAGGGCGGGCAGAGCGGGCGGCCCCTGCGAGGTCCGGGAGAGCTGTGCGGGGCTGTTGTTGATGATGACTTTTTTTTTTAATCACAGCAGCCCCAGTTTAGCGGATTGATTTACTCGCAGTATTGGTAAATATGATCACGTGGGCTCCGCAACCAATGGTTGAGGGTTGCAGTCTGCAAAATACTACGATTGTTCTCCGGGAGGGTATCATATACAGTTAACAGTGTAACCTTTTATATGACTACGAGGGGAGCCTAAAATGTCGTCTAGTGGCACCATAAGTAACTATTATGTCGATTCTCTCATAGGCCATGAAAGCGAAGAAGTTTACGGGAGTAGATTCGTCCAGGGAGGTCACAGTGCGACCTCCAGGCCATCAGGTGTTGCAGAGAGTTCAGATTTTTCTTCCTGTAGCTTTGCACCAAAATCCACCGTGTTCTCCACCTCCTGGTCCACGGTTCACCCTCAGCCGTCTGCGGCAATGACCGGGATCTACCACCCCTACATGCACCAGCCTCACTTAGGGGCAGCCGACGCCGGCCGCTACGTGCGCTCCTGGATCGAGCCCTTCCCGGGCTTCCCGGGCGGCGGCGGCGGCGGAGGCGGCAGCGGCGGCGGCTCCGCTTCCAGCTCCGGCTCCTCCAACGGGCGCCACTACGGGATAAAGCCGGAGACGGGAGCAGCCACCTCCTCGTCTTCCTCCTCCTCCTCCTCCTCTTCCAAAAGGACTGAGTGCTCCTCGTCCCGGGAGTCCCAGGGGATCGGTGTGCCCGAGTACACGTGCAGCTCCTTCCTCCAGGAGCCCCGAGAGAAGGCGGCTGCCGGCAGCTCCAAGGACCCCGCCGCTTGCAGCCACAACCCTAGCCCGAGCAGCGATCTGAAGGAGGAGAAACAGCAGCAACTTGACCCAAGTAAGTAAAAAAAAAAAAAAAATAGGGGGGAGAGAGAGGGAGAGAGGGGCAGAGAGAGAGGGAGAGAGAGAAAGAAAGAAGGAAAGAAAGAAAGAAATTGCCCCTTTGATTTATTGCCGAAACCTGTAAGGCTCGAATGTGCAAAACTGATAGTTTTACTAACCTATAAAAACGTCTAGACGCCTACCCCAGCGCAAGCAGCAACAAGCACCCATAAAAGACTCCACATAACCACCTACCATCAAGACATCATTTGTACAGTAAACAGACTGGGGCATTAAGGCTTTTATGATAATTCCTCCAAAGTTGTGAAAACAGTCCATCCTTCGTTAAATTAATTTAACGACCTTTCTCTCTCCTCCCCCCCCCCTCCCCCCCCGGCCCCCTTTCCCTATATACATCCCTTCTTCCAGATAATCCTGCAGCAAACTGGATCCACGCTCGTTCAACGAGGAAAAAGCGTTGTCCCTACACAAAGTATCAAACTCTGGAACTGGAAAAAGAATTTCTCTTTAACATGTACCTCACCCGAGACCGCCGTTACGAAGTAGCTAGGATTTTAAATCTCACAGAGAGACAGGTCAAAATCTGGTTTCAAAACAGAAGAATGAAAATGAAAAAGATGAACAAGGAGAAAGGCAATAAAGGAGACTAACGCTGGGGTAGAAACGCAGTTGGGGAATGAATACTGCTTTAGTTTTGAGTTTGGGAGATTTGGGTTATATTTTGGATTTGGGTTTTTTGGTTGCCGAGTTACTTTTTTTGGGGGGAGGGGTCTTTTTCTTTCTTTCTTTTTCTTTTCTTTTTTCTCCTTTTTTTTTTCTTGTTGGTTTAGTTTTATTAATTCCCCCCCTGTACTCTCAGCCCCACATACGTTTCTCCTCCTACTCCGGGTCCCCCCCCCCATCTCCCCCAGGAGCTTTAAATCAATCTGGTCCTTCTTTTTTTTTTTTCTTTTTCTTTTTTTTTCTTTCTTTTTTTTTTTTTTTTTTTTTTTCCTTAGCTAGAAGTGAAACGTGGTCTATGTCAGGTATTTTGGGAAATTTTGTCTTGCTCGCCAACGTGTTTTGCAGAGTCGCTTCATCCCCTCTTCCTCCTTCCCAGACCGTTTGGTTGATATTGTGAGTGCACGTTAGCTTTGGGAACTCTATCTGATGTTAAATGTTTGACATGTTCCTTAAAAGTGATGTAGTCTAGATAGTTACTTTGCCAAAATAAAGGTAAGGAAATTAATTATAATTACGGTAATAAAATATATATTAAATTACAGTACAGTGGCTTAAATCAATGGGGGTGCTGTGTTGTCCACGATTTACTAAGAGGAAACCTTTCCCCAAACCTCTGCTTTCTAGGTCTGAATTTCTCTCCTTCGCAATAGGAGTCACAGAGAGGCCACGAGCTATCCCCCCACACCTTTAGTGCACTGGTAGGAGGTTGTCTCATCCCTGAAGCCGTTCGCAATAGGCCTAACGCCTCCCGGTCCCCCGGCTAGCTGGCGACCCTGCCCCCGGTGACTGTTGTATTAACCGCCCCGTGTCTCGAACTACAGACCTGTTGTAATTGTTGTCAGTTATTACACAATAAAGTCTGCCGTGACCGAAAGACAGCGCTGCGGTGAGAGGACAAATCTGTGCGCCCCTCGCGATGCTCTCCGCGCCGCCGACCCTACCGCGCAGGTCCCGCGGGGCCTCAGCGGGCCCAGCACTGCCGGGCCGGGGCCGCGGGAAAGCCCGGCCTCGCTCCCTGGCCAGCAGCACCTCTGGCAGCCACAGAGGCCGGAGGAAAATCACTTCCTCGCCGCTCTCGCCTAATCGACGTTTGGTCTCGGAGGGCAGCGGCAACGAGGCCGGCTCTGGCCTCTCCATGTAGGTGCATGGGCCGCATACCCCTCCCGAGCGCCTGGGTTACCAGCGCTGTCTGAAACACCAGCCAGCTCTTGGGACAACTTAGGAAATGTTCCCGCACCGGTCCTCCAGAACCAATGGAGAAAAATGATGCCTATTCGCTTTAACATATTTTATTGTTGGGGGCCGCTTCTAACCTCTACACTCTTTAATCTGGAGGCTGAAGGGCTCTGGGGGGACCCGGCTGCTTCCAAACGTTCGGCTTTGTTGGCGAGAGCTCCTTTAGCAACGTGTCTCCTGCCTTCTGCATTTATAAGCCCACATGACTTTATCAAGATAATTGAGATGAAGTTCATTGTAAAAAATGCTTTGTTTAAAGAGCAACCATTAAAATGAAGGACCCGTAAATATTTACGAGCAGTTCGGTTAATTCAAGAATAAGGGGAGAGCTGAGAGACCTGGTGTTTAATGTTTTTTACCTCTGTAAAAAAAAAAAAAAGGCAAAAGCCTGCAGTGCCAGGAAAAGGTGTTGCATTGCTTCCCATCCATTGTGGAGAAGATACCTATAATTCTTTTAAAACAGGAAGAACCGTGGTATAATAAAACCATTGAGATGGCTAGACGTCTGGACCTAATGAGTTTACGATATGCTATGGCGCTTTTCTTTGAAACCACCTTATTTTGATGTTTGTGTTTGTTAAAGGGGGGGGGGAAAGGAAAAAGACAAACTAGGTTTTAAAATCTTGGACTATAAATTTCAATATGTCAGCTTTGGGCCAAGGCAACAGACTCAAAAAAGACCCGAAGGTCACCGAACTGAGAGATTTTAGAAAGTTCACTGATTTGTTGAAATGTATTTTATTGGATCTTCCACTGCGACGTTAGCCTCCGTGTTTGCGGAAATAACTATGGAGGGGAGCGATCTATAACTAACAACACGTAAACAATATTCTTGCCACACAACGCTCTATTATGTTGATTCCGGCAAAGGCTCTGGTAAGAAACTGTCGTCAGGTCCACACCATCTCTTTTAAATATTTTATTTCTGGCAGATTGACAGTTTCTACCTTGTCTACTCCCCCCCCCCCCCCCGCGCCTTTGTTTACCTATTTCTAACATGGTGTGCGATGTTTCAAAATGGCAGAAAGAAAACCAAACATCTCGAAAGCTGAAACGCGGTTTTTCCAGGGAAATGACTTTTTGTGTCAAACTGAACAATAATTTAATTGCTACCCGTTGGTTGTGTTACTATATGTTTATACATATGCGCAGTCGCGTGCACACGCATCATACCGAATAATTCACAGGCATGTGTGGTGAAGGGGGGGAGGATGAACAAAGATCCATCTTTACTTTCGTTTACATAAATCAATCCATAAATACAGAAATGCATGGGCAAACAAAATAACATGTTCAAGACAAAAACGTATAACTCTGAAACTACCACACATGGAGAATTCGTGGTGTAATATGTGGGGAAACACGATTGAAAACGCGATAGCAGCGGTCTTCAAAGCTCAGGCGTCTTTGCTGGCTGCCATGTGTAAACGAGGCGCATTCTTTGTATGTAGTTAATTATAGCACTGACAAAAAATAAAAGAGGGTCACCGAAATGTGCTGAGAAAATGGCACTGTGAAGTCCGTCTGGCAAAAAAAAAAAAAACAACAAAAAAACAAAAAAAACAAGGATGAAAAACTGGGGGAGGGAAAAGAGGGAAAAGAAAAGAAAAAGGAAAAATAAAAAGAATGAAAACCGTCCCAGAACCAGCTAGCACAGGAAGGACCGCTCAGCGTTGAGGCCCCGCCGGGGCAGTGCAGAGCCGGCCGGTGTCCCGCAGTGTCCCTCCGGGGTTCTGGCGGAACCACGGAACGGCGACGGGGCCGGGGAGCTGCGGGCAGCGCAGGGCGGGAGGGCGCTGCCTGCCGCCGCACGCCGCCAGAGGGCGCCCGCGCTCCACTTTAGTGCCGCCGCCGCGCCTCGTGCTGCGCGCCCCGCGTACTGCTGTGCGCAACCCCCGGCCGCGGAGAACCGCTGCTGGGACTGCAGCTCCATGCGAGTGGCAGTGCTGACACGTGGGGGGTGGGTGGTCTGGAGTGGATGCGGAAAGCATCCACGCTGACCCTCCACGCCTCTCCCCGGAGTGAGGCAGTTTCCCTGCTGCCACCATTCCGACAACACACCACCTGGCCTGGTGTCCTGCTGCTCTCCTGCTATGGCCTTTTGCTTTTGCTTCTATCCTTGTAGCATTAAAAGTCCGTGTGCCCTCTCCGGGCCTCTCTCACTCCATCACTCCCCACCCGCCTGTTCCCCGGCTGTACCCTGGGCCTTTGCCGGCCTCCAAAGTCATGTGTTCCAGGCCACTGGGCCCCTGCTTGGGCGCGGGTGTCGCTGCGGGCCTAGCTCCCGTTCGGGCACTCATGTGAGGGGTAGCAGGGCTGGTCACCTAGACAAAGCAAGATAATTGTGATGGAGGTCGGGAGGTAGGAGGGGTGGGGGAGCAGAGTGTGATGGGGAAGGAGCTTGCGATGCCTTTTATGTAACCACAAGTATTTTTTGTCAATTCACACCAGATGGTCACACTTGGCTCTAGCGGGGTCCATATTATATTTCACCGAAATTTTTCGTTTCTCTTCAAAATAGGGCGGACTCGACCTCCTGGGGGTGTCTCTCCAAAAAGCCGATTCCCACCGCAGTATGAAGCGGGGAAGAGAGGGCTGGAGACAGCACTTCTCGAGGCTCGGGGCCCCGCAATAGCTGCCGACCCTACCGGGCAGCACCTCCCTTCCTTCGTCTCATATAACAGGGCTCGCTTTTTTGGGACCGCGTCCCCGAGCGGTGCTAACCGCTCATCCACATATTTTCCTTTTTTTTTTTTTTTTTTTAATTTTTCCCTCCCTCTCTCTGCCTCGGTAATGACGTCCACCAAGGGTGAAATGATGGAAAGTATATTCATAGGCATGATTTCCATTAACTGTCAATTAACCTGGAGCCTCAGCCATGCGTGCACGGCGTCAAGGGTAAATGTGCATCTCATTTCCCAGCGCTCTGCTCGCCTGCAAGGGAATGACTGGAGGGTCCGCAGCACCCCTCCGCCCTCTGGATCTCCCCGGCTGCCCTCGCTGGCACCCCCGGCTCCGAGCGCCGGGCACCGGCTCCGTCGGCTGGTCTCTGCCCTAGCCGAACGGCGGTGCAGGCCGCGGTTCAGTGCTCAGCCGCGGCCCTGGGCCCCTAGTGGCCTCGCCCCGGGCAGCACGCCCGCGGTTATCGCGCGGGATCTGCGCGGCTGCCTCGCCTCTGCGCGGCGGGGGTTTCGTCGGCTCCTGGCGAGCGCGCACCGGCGGGGGGAGCGGAGGCGCCGCGGCTGGGGTGGATCCGGGCAGGGCTGGGCCGGGTTTTTTTCTTGCCTGAGGAGCGGCACATGTAAACTGAAGCCAAAAGTCCCCCCTGAGCTCATGAGCGTGTGTGTGTGTATGTGTGTGTGTGTGCGCGGGCTGCTGTGTGCCTAATAGGAAATAGTAAAAGCAGTGAGGCAGGTCATTTTGGGAGCGATTATAATCCAGTCCTGGTCACCACATACACGGAGAGCGGGATCGGTGAGCGCACGGGCGAGCGGCGACGGCATGAGCGCAGCGTAGAGGCACCAGCGGCGGCGGCGGCGGCGGGAGCAGCGCCCCGTGCCCGCGCCCGCGCCCCCGCCCGCCGCTGCCCCCTCCCAGATGAGCTCCTACTTTGTCAACCCGCTGTACTCCAAGTACAAGGCGGCGGCGGCTGCGGCGGCGGCGGCGGCGGCGGCGGCGGCGGGGGAGCCTATCAATCCCCCGTACTACGACTGTCACTTCGCGCCCGAGGTGAGCGGCCGCCACGCCGCCGCAGCCGCTGCCGCCGCCCTGCTCTACGGGAACGGCGCGGCCGCCGGCGGCTTCCCGCACCCCGCGCCCGGAGGGGCGGGGGGCGGCGGCGGCGGCGCAGCAGCGGACTTTTACCACCCGGCCGGGGGGAGCCCCACGGCCGCCTACCAGCCGCCTCCTCCTCCCCCCGCCGCGCCTCCGCCTCCTGCCCCCTGCAGCGGGGTTACCTGTCACGGGGAGCCCGCTAAATTTTACGGATACGATAACTTACAGAGACAGCAGATTTTTACGACACAGCAAGAGGCCGAGCTGGTACAATATCCTGACTGTAAATCGTCCAGTGCTAATATTGGCGAGGAACCAGACCACTTAAATCAGAGCTCGTCTCCTGCTCAAATGTTTCCCTGGATGAGACCACAAGGTTGGACGCAGTCAAAAATTTGCTTCCATCTCACGTCTGAGTTCGAAACTTTCTTTTCCTCCTCCCGCTTCTTTCTTGCTGCATCTCGCTCCCTGCCTCTGCCGCCCTCGCTCCCTGCGTCTCTCCCCGCGATTCCTATCTCCGCGGTGGCTTGCGATAATAAAGCGATACAGTAAGCAAACTGAAAGCTCAGCAGAAGGCGGCTGTCACCCCAAGAGTAGCTTTAAAGTCCATTTGGACACCGAGGTGTATCTGCCACTCTCGCCCGGCTCCTGCCGCAGCCGTCCGAAAGGCAGGGAGCAGGGCCGGGGAGCCGGTCATCAGATAATAAAATGACCCCGTAAACTCGGTCCCGCAAACCCCGGTGGAGGGGTGGGGAGCCGAAGCACTTCGTGCGTCTGCTGCTGCTGTTTGTCCCGCACTCGTGTGTGGAACTCGGTTCTGCCGACCTCTCTGCTTTTTCTCCCTGCGTTTCTGTGGGGTTTCTCTAGAGGGATTCCAGAGGGGCCCGAGCCCTCTCTCCCCGCTTGTGCCTGGTTTTGAACGACCACACCAACTTCCAAAACCTTGTGTTTTTGTTTTAAACAGCAGCGCCGGGTAGGAGGAGAGGAAGACAAACATACAGTCGATTCCAGACACTAGAGCTGGAAAAGGAATTCCTCTTTAACCCCTATCTGACCAGGAAGAGGAGGATCGAAGTGTCCCACGCATTAGGACTCACCGAAAGGCAAGTAAAGATATGGTTTCAGAACAGAAGGATGAAATGGAAAAAAGAGAACAACAAGGACAAATTCCCCGCTTCCAGACAGGAGGGAAAGGAAGGGGAGGCCAAAAAGGAAGCACATGATCTGGAAGAAGACAGAGCTGAGGGCCAGACGAATTAAATTTTGCCCTAAAAGCCTTTGCTAAAGACCATCAGAAACAACCAGCACCACAGCCCGACGTATCAGCCGGTCTCCCCTGTACGAGGTCTGCCGTGGGACGAGAGACCCAGTGTACCTCTGCGTGACATTTCTCTGCTTCGGGTGCTTCAGTTGTTTATGGTTTTGTTTTTAACCATATCCGGAACAATCTCTAGATTTAACAGTTCATCTACTTCTTTTGCAAATTTGATACAGTTTGTAGCAATACATTTCTAATGATTTTTTTTTTCCAATCTTAAAAGACGGTGATTGCGAGAAACAACATAAACTTCCTAATAATGAATTCCAATAAGCAGGATATTTAACGACGCTTTATTAATCAAGACAAGTGCACTTGTACTATTTTAATTCTTGTTCTTATGTTGACTAAATTAAATAAATTTAATAAATTTGAAGAGAACTTAGAAGTATATTTAACCTTTTGCTATGATATTTGATTAAAATAAACCAAATTTATTCAAATATAAACTGTATCGGCATCTTCGTATCTTTTCTTAAATCCACTCCTCCAGTAAACCTCAGTACCCCTCCACGTCTGGACTAACTTCCCCACTGAACCTTTCTGCGTACTTCCCCCTGTGCTGGGTGTTTCGGTGGGGTCTGGGAAGGGCACATTGGCTACAAATCCTGGGTTTCTCTCCCTGCTGCCTGCACACCCCGCCAGAGTGTCCAGACACGGCTCTGCGGGATCCTGGTGGAAGCAGCGGACAGCGGGGATCAAGGGCCCACCCTCGGGCTGAGCCCACGCTGCTGCCCGGTCCCGGGAGCACCCTCTATGTGTGCGCTCGGGCCTTGCCTTCACCTTTCCCACCCTCCCTGAGCTGCGGGACTCCGGGGCCGGGGGGCTGCTGCCGCCAGACAGGGTCTTTGCCTTGCCGAGGTTAGCGTTGCTCCTGATCGGTACTGGGCTTCCATCAGCATCCAAACCCGGCCTAAGTGACCCTGCGGATGGCTGACGAGTGGAGAGATTAAAAGTTTTTGTGGCCTTACGTGGAGTTTTCTCGGGAGCTGTGATGGTTAGTGATCCCAAACCACACATAAACGGAAAGAAGGGCATTTTTTCCCCTAAGTATTATGGTACGGCCTGAGTGCGTTCCCCGGGAAGGCCAGAGCCGGCGAGAGCAGATTCCCCGCAAGACTCCCTGCAGCCAAGGGGAGAGGAGCCCGCTCTGATCAGTAAAACAGTTTAATTTATCTCCCGTTTTCCTCTCCCACCCCTTTCTCCCACTCCTCGGCGAGGTCCCGTAGCCTGCGATATCTGAGAGGACGGCCGAGAGCAGTCCTTTTTAGGAACAGTAGCCAGAGCCCTGGAGTATGAGGTTTAAAACCCTACCAAGATATTTGAGTCACTTTTTCTCCACGGCCTCACGCTCACGTGAGTGATGGCTACGTGAAGGGGACAGCAGGGACGCGCCAGCCACTGCCACGAACACGAGAAATTTACATTATCTGCCAGAGAAACTATCAGGGGCCGAGCCGGGGCCCCACTCGGAAACACATCGAGGGGCCTGGAGGGGTGACAGCCTCCGCCGTCCGCGCCCAGTGCTGCGGCCCTTCTCCCGCGCTCACCGCTTCGCTCCAGGGAACAGATCTGGCATGGCGGGAACCGTCATGCCCGGTGTCGGGAATTGTACGGTGGGCTTGGTTCATTTCGTTTCCCTTCCCTTTACCTCCTCCCAGCCACCGAGCCAGGCACGTTTCCATTCCTGCAAAACAGTAGCTCTAGAGGGAGTCACAAGCAAGCGGAGCTATTGTTCTAGGTTTATTTTAATCACGTAGTTGGTTAAAGGCTGTAAACGAGGGGAAACTGCAGCAAAGAGTTGAAGTAAACATTTTGCTGCATGGATTTGCATAAATACACGGGTACCCCTAATATCCAGGAAGGATGTGGGGTTGATGGCGGCGCAGTTTAGGAAACCCCGTCTCCTGACACGAAAACCCCACCTTGGTTTTCAAAATAATACCCGTTGCCAGTGGCACCGGCGTGTTTGATCTCAGGTCGGGGTAAAAGCCTCTTCCCTGCGCTGCGGTTGTGGCCAAGCCCTGGTGCAGCAGGTCCCTGCTGGCGCTGCCGCAGGAATATCAGTGCCGCAGACCGGGATGGCAACACGGGAAGCGCGTGTCGGAGACCTGCACACATGAGCGAGCACTAATATTTATTAGGGAAAGAGCTGATGCTGTGGTTGTTTTTAATTTCCAGACAAAGAGAATAAAATTAAAATATTCCTGGGGAAGTTTCCGTTAAGCGTCGCTCTCCCTGGGCCGACTGGGAACGCGGCCACGTAGACAAAAGCTGACTTCCTTGTGCGCACATCTGAAAAGGCCTAGCTGTAACTGGGATAGTCCCTGTCTTATTCATTAAGAAAAACAATAAAAATCGCTGTAGTTGTTAAGGTATCTCCCCCTTACAGCCTGGCAGCTGAATCTCCCCTCGTTCGTACTTGGAGTCTTGCTAACAAAAAAATACTGAGCTAGAAATTGTCCCGGGCGGTCAATAAACCCCCGATTAACCGGATTCCTCGAGCTCCGGAGCAGGCAGTGGTATTTTGGCAGAGAAAAGCCGTAGCTGAGCAAGTAGCGGAGGCAATGGAGGAAAGAGGCAGCCTGCGGCTGCCGCAGTGCGGATATACCACACCTTTGGTTTCCGCGGGATTTCTCCGTTTCCACCCCGGGCAGCTCTGCGCTGCCGTGGGTGCCGCAGAGCCGCCGCGAGCGATGCCGGTGCCTCGGCCGAGGGACATGACACACGCCTGTGATATTCACGGGTGTGCAACTGCCAGAAGCAGCGTGCTAAAAGGATCCTCCACCTTCGGAATTGTTTACTTTTGTTAGCTCTATTTTCGAGGCAGGTACAATCAACACCGAGGTCACTGATGGAGGGATCTGTTTATTGTCTAGGACAAAAATTGAGCAAGAATACTCCATCTTAGAGCAGAGCATTCCCTGTGGACACGGGGCAGGTTTTAGCTTTTTCTAGTACTTTCTGCGAATTTTGCCCCAGATCATAGTAGCCACAGTAAGGTTTTCTTGGGGACAGGGGAATCCCCACCGGTGGGGCCGTGGGCAGCCTGGGCGCGATGACAGCGCCCACAGCCACCCTTGGGCAACGGGCACGCAGGGTGGGGAAGCAGCTAAGACTATTTTTAGGTCAGCAACGGCTTCGGCTTCAGTAGTGGGCGCTCAAGCAAGTGTGGAAGCTTTTAGGGCAAGCCGGAGAGGGGGGACGGGGGGGGGGAATAAGGGTAAAGCCCCCTTTCGTTGGGGAACTACATGGAGCCGCCGGCGCCGCGCGGTCCCCCTCTTTGTGGGGATCCGAGGAAGCTCACCCTTCTTCCTGCGCGGATCTTCCGCGCATGGCCGTGCCCGAGGGCCTCCGCAACCGCGCCCGGGGCGCGCAGGCCGCGGGCAGGGGGGATCGGGGACTCAGTAAAAGCGCAGCGCGCAGGCGAAAGAAACATGGCGCTGGGAAGCAGTATGTGCAAAATCCGCAAGGAATTGCAGTAAATTCCTTTTTGTTTGAAGAAAATTTACAACTTGGTAATAGACCTTTTTATGACCTATTTGGGCTCGTCATTGGCTGCGGCTGGTCATGTGCAGGCAGCGAGCGCTTTCATGGCCTTTTCCTGATTTCCCTGGCGAATTTCCCCCTGCATTCTGCCTTCAGAGAGCCTCAGCCCCTCTTTTTCTAACCTTTGTCTAGGCTGAGGTGTATGGCTGTCGCCCTCATGTTTGTGCCCTGCACCCTAAAGCCCGAGGCCGGTCCCGCCGTTGCCGTGCTGACACGTCCCCGTCCCCGCGGCGCTTCCTCTCCAGCGACAGCGGGGGAATGCGCGGAGCTCCGCGCCAGCCGCCGCGCTGGCTCCAGCCCCGCGCTCCTCTCCCGCCGCTTGTTGCCGACACATCCTCCGGCACACGGATTGCTACGCGGGTGCAAAATGGATTACAGCGACCGTCCCGGGCTCCTCCGCCGGCGGGCAGTGCCGCGAACCGGTAAGCACTCGGCTCCCATCGGGATTGCCGCTGGTTCTCCGCACCCGCGTACCGTCCCGCACCGCAGCTCGGCGCCGGCTGCCCTGTCCTTCAGCCCCGCTGGTCACCTGTCCCTCACAGTCCCTTATTTTCCCTAATACCATTTGTATTATTGTTATTACTATTATTATTGCTATTATTACTGTTGTTATTGCTACTGTAATTATTGGCATTGTTATTGTTATTAATAATGGTTGTGGGTACGCCGCGGGGTGTATAAGGCTGTTGCGCTGACTGGAACGGAAAAGGCGTTGGGGCCCGAGATAGAGCGGCGATCCGAGCCCCTCTGCCCCGAGGGGCGGAAGGCTGGGGAGTAGCGCTGGCAGGCAGCATTTCTCGTGCGCTGGGTTTCTTCCAGTAAAAAGCGTTTTTTTTTTTCTTTGGGTACTTTTTTCCCTTCCAGTCTGAAGCGCGGTGTGGTGATGCTGCGGTTTGATTTCCTCATGGCGGAAGGGCGGTCGCGTAACTTTAAAGCTTAACAGGTGTTTTCGCAGAAGAGCCGGGGTCAGCTCTCCCGCAGAGGCGGAGGGCTCGGGGCGGTCCCGTCGAGCCGGTCGCGCCGGAGCGTTTTAGCATATCCTTCTCCCTTCACTGTGCATGAGCCAGGGGTGAGGTTCCGACCAGCCCTGTGGGAGGCACAAGGGCCGGGCTCCGCAGCCGCACAGAGCGGTGAGGGCTGAGCGGAGCCACTGCCGGGGGACACCTCGCAGCACGGCTGCTGACCAGCGTGGAAATCGTGGGGGACTCAATAGGGGACGAGCTTGCAGGAAAAAAAAAGTCCACCCCCCAACCCAGGTTTATTTTGAAATACGTAGAGGAGGTAGAACAGTCATATAGACTGTATCTGCGATACCCATGTATGTGTATATACCCTTATCTGCGTTACCTATATACTTACATATGCATGTTCTCTGTAGAACACTGGTCCTTTGGAAGTATATTATTTTGAACGCACATGTATTTTACACATTTTCTCCTCATTTTCAAGATGTGAATGCACAGTAGAAAATCCGCTGCCTGTCATTAAGTGTTTACATCGTTGGTCAGCGGTGGAAATGCACCATGCCATTGCACTGCAGGAATTTACTGAATCGACAATTTACCTCAAAAGCTGCCGCTTATTTAACGGTAAAGCAAACCGCCTGATTAAACCATCTCTAGTGAGAATGGAAAGGGGTGGGTCGTGCCCCAGGTACATATTTTGAAGCAGCAGGAGAAATTATTCTTTAATCCATCCCTGAACATCTTCCCAGCTTTCTGAGCCCTAGCCCAGCTCAGGAAGCGGTAGGATGCTTTTCCCTCGCGCTTTGGCTCTGCAGTAGCCGGCCGCCCTCCGCTGCTGAAGGACTTAGGGATTATTTGGGGGAAATCGTTTTCAACGTAGCAACAGTCTTTAAGAGTAACTTGGAAAGTATGTATTGCGTTAGGTTTCACTCTCA